ATCTACTCTACAACTATCCTACAACTACAGCAATGAAAAGCAACCAGACAACTTGACTACCAGCGAGTGATGATGTCAACACCAATGCCGACCTCCACCTTCACCAGGTACGTGTCCTCTTCCCCACACTCTCCCTTGTTACCCACACAGCACCCTTCACCTCCGAAGTACCACCTTCGCCCTCACCTCCCCTGCACCCTCATGCGGCCCGGCTATGGCCGCCAGTGCCCTGCGTGCAGGCAGCGCCCTACCSCCTAGCGCTGGCCTGCTTGCTCTTAGCGCAGCACTGCCTTGCACAGCGCAGCACACATGCATCYGCGCAGCGTGCCCGCAAGTGCCAGCATTGGCCAAGATCCCTGTTGCCTCGCCCTGCTTGCCTATATGCCAATGCAGCATGTGGGCGGCCTTCCTTCAGCCTGTGACCGGGACCCAGAGGCTGAAGCCAACTCGATACAGTTGGGCCCCGGGCAATGCAGTTGCGCCTCTTTCATCAAGGCCTATGGCCAGATTCAGATAGTGGGCCGATTTCCATTTGGCATTTTCGGCCTCTCTACCCAGCATGCATTGTCGGCCTCACGTTCGAGTGCCCAGGGCCTAACTAACTCAGAGGCCCTGGGCATTTCAGCATTTGCTGAAATCCGAGACTCAGTGCACACCAACCAACTGGCGTGCTGCAACTGTATGAACCCCACTTCGTGAAATGTTGGCACAAAGGGCTCTTGTTGATTTGTTGGCCCGCCTTCACTTAGGGCGGGCACAAGGCTTGTTGGGGCCTTAGCCCAGAACATGTACATCATGGCAAGGCCCCTACTTGAGGCCTCAATCCTCACAGATCTCTCTCGCAAGCTCCTCCCGAAATGGATGGGGCCTTGGCCGATTGTGGCACCCGCTGGGGATGCACCTGAAGGACCTTCCTCCACCATTCAGGTGCCCGCCCACTTGCCCGTCTACTCGGTCTTTCATTGCTCCAAGTTGGCTCTTTACAAGCCAGCAGGACATGCTGATTTTCCCGGGTGATGATTGCAAGACCCACCCTCTATGGACGGTTTTCAAGAGGTTGGCGACATCATCTCCCAACGGCGCCACGACAACAGGCCAACCGAGTACTTGGTACACTTTGCGTACTGCAGTCACAGAGCTGATTGTTCGTTGACCCGTGCGGAACTCCAAGCAACAGCTCCAGATGTTCTCGCACGCTACAAACCCAAGATGCAAGGCAAGCCGGTATCGTCGGCTCCACGTCACACCCGCATCCACATTCCACCTTCAGATCGTCAGCTTCGCCCTCGCCCTGGCTTGACTTCATAAGGAGGGGGGGGTGTTACATGCTGCGCCTGCAATAGGCTGCACGGGCCCCTTTTAGGCCCATGTCGTTTTCAGGCCAAAAGCCTGAAAACAAGGGCCTACAGGCCCCGTGTCGTTTCAGCCTGAAAGCCTGAAAACAAGGGCCTACAGGCCCTGTGCCGTTTCAGGCTAAATCAGGGCCTTTCCGACCCCGAGTGTTTTCAGCCTGAAACTGAGGGCCATTTTTAGGCCCTCGTCAGTTCGACCCGCCCTGAAACTCAGGCAACAAACCAGGGTTTTAGCACAGGCCATTTCAGGCCTGTTTTCAAGACAACCCCTGGTTGAGCTTCAACCGCAGGGTCTGGCACGCTTGGCATTGGCAAGAGCAGCCTCCTGGATGGGCCAGCACTATATAAGACTGGCCTGCCCTGCAGGCTGCAGGTAGTTCCTAGGTACTTCCCAGGCACTTCACGTGCAGTTCAGGAGGCAGGAGGTAGTCTTCAGGATTCGGCAGCAGCACTCTGGAGGAGCGCTGCAGGAGTAGTTGTAGCGCTAACAGTAGTCTTCAGCGTTGGGCGCTAGTAGCGTAAGCAGTAGTCTTCAGCGTTGGGCGCCATAGGAGCTAGAGCAGTACGAGAGAGAGAGAGATTGGGCGGGGGCCAGGGAGACTTACCTGCAGCGCCATAGCTCCACCTTCGTCTTCGAGGTACCTGCAGCACAGCGCCAGCTTCACAGGTTAGTGCCTGGCACGTGAGAGAGAGAGAGAGAGTTCTTCTTCTTCCTCTTCTCAGTCCACCATCTCCCTCTCACCCTCTTGCTACCTGACTTCACTGCATCAGCAGACTATGAGAGAGCGGACTTGGTGACTTTCAGATCCAGACTCGACATTGGGCTTCAGACATTTTGACGAGGGATTATTTGGGACTTGTAACAAAGACCTGGTGTTGACGACATTTCCATCTCTCCCCCTCTTCTTCGTCTGTTCCCCTCCTCTTCGTCTGTGCGTGATCTGGACCTGGCGTATTCTTCCTGTGTGTAGCGCCAGGCCCCTTCACACCTTGTGATGAGGATGATGTATGTTTGGTCTGCGTTGCAACATTGATTGGGCTAGTCATTGGTATTCTAGCATTCTGCTGCGCTGTCTTATACTACGTAAAAGAGGTCAGTCCCGGTCAGGTCAGGACTTGTATCGAAATCTTCCACTGCGCTATAAAACACCATTTTTGTATGTATCAGGATGTACACTGCTTGTTGAGATTTCACTAGCACAGCATTGTCCATTCAGTCTTTTTCATCACACTGCGGATCCTCGGTTTTACATGTACATCGCCCAACTGGGCATGTAACACTATGTGTTACATGTTGCGCCTGCACACGAGGGCCATTTTCCAGGCCCTGCATCCCTCACGCTGAAAGCCTGAAATTCAGGCTGAAAGCCTGAAAACCAGGGCCTACAGGCCCCGTGTCTGTTCAGCTCGAAAGCCTGAAAAACAGGGGCCTACAGACCTTGTGTCGTTTCAGACTAAAAATGGCAGTAGCATTTTTAGCCTGAAACGAAGGGCCATTTTCGGTCCTTCATCAGACCGACCTGCCCTAAAACTCAGGCACCAAACCAGGGTTTTAGGAACATGCTATTTTTGCCCTGTTCCCATGATAGCTGCAGCACCAGACGCTGGCTCAGTTTGGCATTGGCAAGAGCAGTCTTCAGGATTCGGCAGCAGCACTCTGGAGGAGCGCTGCAGGAGTAGTTGTAGTGTTAGCAGTAGTCTTCAACACTGGGCGCTAGTAGCGTTAGTTGTAGTCTTCAGCACTGGGCGCCATAGCTAGAGTAGTACTAGAGAGAGAGAGATTGGGCGGAGGCCAGGGATACTTACCTGCAGCGTCCTTGCTCCAGCTTCGTCTTCGAGGTACCTGCTGCATAGTGCCATCTTCACAGGTTAGTACCTGACCCATGAGAGAGAGAGTTCT